ATTTGCCTTCTGCCTTTTTGGTCTCAAAGGACGGGCCTCGTAGGGCACTTAAGGTTGCTGACAAGGTAAATTAGAGTTCTTGGTGAAGTCCAATATGAACCGACTAAACTACATGTCCTGGATGTACAGTACATGTGCAAAGCTTATTGTGATGAATATAGGTCAGAATGGAAATCTCTAGACAATACTGAGCTACAGTACATGCACCAAGGAGCTACATACAAACTGCATTATACAATAAGCACATGAAAATCAAAAGGCCTAACTTTGTCATGTTACTTAATTTCAGTGGGTCTACTTTGAGTAAACTTAGTCAAATGGCACCCCAGTGGTTGGTCAGCCTGAGGATAAGACAGCTTGCTATGTACCTATTCCTGCATTAAGGAGGGGGTTGAACTAAAAAGGCACATTTATGGGATGCATTCCGAACTTTTAACCCATCATGCTGGGTGTGGGGTGCTGGATAGGGTGGAAGTATCCCACTGCCCAGAACAGCTCTGCCAGCCCTTGTCCACAGAGTGAAATTAGTATTGCTCCACATGCATGAAATTCCCTCTTCCACCTTCTGAAAGGGCAGGTGGCTGGAAGTCACTGGAAAAACCGAAGTGGGATTTTCTTATTTTCTCATCACTTTCATTATTCTATTTTGATGCATTTTCAAATCATAGTTCAGATTCCGTTCAACTTTCAATAACTTAATATGCATTCTTTTCCCTCCCCTTTCCATTTTCACTTCCAGTTCATTTTGACTCCTTGACAAGACTGCAGGTATATTGCAGTGTCAACATTTTGCCTTGCTTTGTTTTGTTTCTAGACTATATGCATGTCCAAAAACCACACCTTTGATCTGCTTCCTGACGTATCGGTATGACAATAAAATAAAATAAGGATGCTTTAGAAATTCAGCTTCTGCAAATTCGGGGTCAAAACCACCCAATGCACTGCATTTTCTCTATTTCAGGAAACCAAAGGTTCCTGTGGCCTCTTCATCTACCTGTGGATCCCTCTCCTCAATTCATGGCCTAATGAGGCTTGAAAACAGCCTGTTATTTTGTTCTGAAGGGAGACTATTTCAAATCTAATTATTGAGGAAGGTAGTGGCTGTTTATTTGGGGGGGTGAGGGTTTCAACTAGGTAGGGAGATTTTATCATGATGATGAATTAAAAAATAATAATTTTCAATTTAATAAGGAAAAAAGGATGCAGTTAAAAGTACATGAACATCTGCAAATATCAAGGATTTCAACAATACAAAATTTACGTGAGTAGCAGCTTCAAACCAAAAGGAATGCATCACTGAACAACCCCCCCCCCATCATATGCCTCGAAGAGGCATCTTTAGCGTTACACCTCCAACATCTATCTGTATTCAACAGAGGCTTCCTACACAAATTCTGTGGAATCCAATATACTCCAAATAATAATTGGATCAATCTCAATTTCAGGTACTAGGAAACATTCCATATGGATTCTAAAGCAATTTTTCTATTGTTTAGGCTGTATAATTCCTTGTTCCACACATCCCTGTTGTACAAGTTCCTGAACTCCCACCAAAATCCATAAAGCATTTATAAACAATGGTTATGGGTTTAGTTTTCTGTAAAAAAAATAATCCAATAATCCCCCCCACAGTTTTGAAGATGCCAACAGCACTGAAAACCGATAGGCCACAGGCAGTGCTTGTTTTAAAGGGGAGGGTGTGTGTGCCAGTACTCACTATGAAGTTGTTACAGTGAGTGCCAGACTTTTAACCTTTTTTAAAAAGGGGGTGGGGTGCTAGTATTGCATACCCTTGAATACCCCCAGGGAAAAAAGCACTGTAGAGGAAGGGTTAATCTATTGCAGTGTGCTGTGAATCCTGTTTCCACCACCAGTGGCAATTAGATCTGCAAAGAGCCTCCTAGCAATATTCACACCTAATAGCAGGGGCAGGAGGAGTGAGAGTCTGGGGTTGTGTGGGTGAGAGAAAAAGAATGAATGAATTGCTGTGTGTTTTATGTGACAATGGATATATGAGAGAGAGAGAAAGAGAGAGAGAGAGAGAGAGAGAGAGGGAGAGAGAGTAGCCCTCCAGATATAATTAAACTCCCACTCCTATTGGCTATTCTGGTGCACCTTAGAGGGCACCATGTTGGCTACCCCTAATGTGCATGGATGTGCGCAAAGGAGAATGTGAGTGCAGCCTCACTACTTTTTGCATTGTACCTGCACACTTCTGCATTGGCCCCAACTACCACTGACATGCGGTCCCTTGAAAGCTTCCCGGCTCTGCTTTACTGATTTTGGAACTTTGCCATCTGCTGGATTACTAAATGCAGTAATGTAAAAAAAATAAAACGCAGGTTTTCATTCAAGGCAAATGTAAAAAGTTGTACTGCTTCCATCTCTGTCCACATAGAAAACCATGCTTGTGTAGATGCAAAGACATACACACCCAACCACACCCTGAAAACTGAACATGCATAATTCCCATCTCAACTGGCTAAACCAGTTTGGCATGGAAGGGAGTAATACTGCTACCAGTGTCCTGGGATTTAGAGCAAGCTAGGCTTTCAAATACAAAGAAATATTTCTTTGAGGACAGCGGGTGGGGGAGGGGAGGGAAGGGAAAGGGTTGTGTGGTGAGAGACGTGTTATGATCTGGGAGGAAAGATCTAATTATTGAGTGGGTAGGAAAAGAGAAGAATCGGACAGTGGGCAGAGGTTAGGGAGGAAAGGAATATGAATGGAAAAGGTATAAAGTGGAGCCTGAACACAATCCATCCCAACTGCATGTAAGGTGAAAACAAAAGCACAATATTTGGTAGCCGATGTGTTGTCCTGCAGATGTTGTTGGACTACAGTTCCCATCAGGCCCTGTCAGTGTGGCCAATGGCCAGGGATGATGTGAGATGTAGTCCAAAGCACCTGGATGACACCATGTTGACTATTCCTGTTCTACCCATCCTCATCAGTGGAACCATACATGTGGTATGTAAGAAAAACCCACAAAACAGAGCAATAGAGGCAGTTTTCTGAGCAGGGGGGGACAACCAAGGTTGCAGTCATTTCTCATGTCATAAGACGTACCTTTCAACAAGCGTATATCTCCATGTTCCAAAATGGCCTTTAGCTATTATGCAATTCCATCTCCAATACTGCCTGTCCATCATCTTGTGACTCAATTGCACATTCCACATACGTTTTAACCAACAGGCACCTACTGTCATCCAACTTAAGACAGATGCGGGTACAGCCTAAGTTCAATGGCTTCAAGCAGGGAGCTGCATCACATTTGCAGAACCCACTCTCACAACATCACAACCCACCTTCAGCACAAACGTTGACAAAATCGCCAATTCCAACCACAAGGACTAGTATGGGAAAGTGTTCACATTACACTTCAAAGACTGACACCATTCGAGATTTCTTATTCTGGGGTGGAGGGGAGTATTTGTTAAGAAACTGCTTGAAACAACTTTGACATTATCAGCAAAACAACCCTCCCCTCCCCCAACATAAAACATTTCAAGAGGTCCCGAAAAGCTAATGAATAAATTGCCCAAATAAGCATTTTGCCACTTGCCATTTGCCATAAATACATTAAAGAGCAATTTCCAATTTTAAAAAAGAACTCCGTGCACCGAGGGTCTAAACACTCATGTCAAATTTTTGATCTCATGACCTTCCATTTACATTCTTGCTTGAGATATTCTTGGAAGTTGAATAACACCAAGTGGGCTGGAGCAGTCATCGCCAGCTACCATTCTTTTGTACTGCTCCATCTTCTCTCCAAATATAATTATATAAAATGTTTTTCCCCTACCAAACACATTTTTCTTGCTTGCATTTGCTGATAGGGAAAAAAAATGGCATGGAAGCTTTTGTTTGATGAAACTGAAACTTGGCTATTAGAAACTTTCTCCTACTTTAGGCATAAATACATTCAAGCATCATTGCTGAACTGTCAAAAAAATGCAGTCTTCTAAGACATTTCAAAGTGTTAGCTTTACGTAATCATGTAAATACTTTTCTCCAGCAGATGTTTTGCCCAAACGTGGCAACAGCAAGCATACAAACATATAAAAGGGATGGTCTTGATCCATCAAAGGGTTTAATGCATGCCCCAATCCCACTTCCCTCTCCTCCCACTGCTGAAAGTACTTACCTATGAGTAAATCTTACTGAATTTGGCCAGACTTACTTCTGAGTAGGCATGCATAGGATTGCCCTGCCAGACACATTTTTCATCCTTATAGTGAGGGACAGAGAATATCCCCCAACAATCTGGCAGAGAAAGCAGCAGCAAGATCTGTCCACATGAAGATCCAAGTGTATAATATCCTCATTTTAAAGTGCGATTTATACACTGAAGATGCACAGCAGCACATCATAAACCTTTCCACTGCCTGAGGGATATCTCTACATTACTTCAGCTCTGGCCTCCCAGCAAATATCCTTCTTTGAGCCAAAATCCATAATCCTTCTTTTGACAACTTTGCAAAGTGTCTGTTAATTCTGGCTTTGGCAGCAGCTGACTCCTTGGGAGTCGGTCCCATCAACTATGTCTTACTCAGAGTAGACCAACTGAAATGAATGGGCCCATAAGTCATGTCCGCTGATTTCAGTGGGCCTACTCAGAGTAGGACTAGCAGTGGGCACAACCTACTGAGACCTACTTCCAAATGAATATGCTGCATGAGGGTTCCCCCGTCCCCCTTTTGTCCTTCTGAGGTGAAGCATAAAACCAAGAACAAACTATTGCATAAATGTTTCGAGATAACTCTTTCAGAAGGGGATGAAAATATTGGGGGCGGAGGAACAACAGCCGAACGAACAAAAAGTGAAATCCAGACTCTGAAAGGATTTGCTGACTGCCAAGGCATAGCCTTTACTGCTATCGAATTCAGTGACAAGGCAATAAAAGATCCTTTCTCCTTGGCAAGAACCCGTTGACTGGCTCCCACAGCTGTAAACATCTCTGACCGTGACCAAGCAAAAACCAAGACAATGCAACTCACGCAAGTTGTTTGCAGGAGGTCTCGTTTCCATGTTCTCATAGTGCTGCACGTGGACCACAATGTTGAGATCTCGTTCCATGTGGTCTGTTGTGCAGGGAGCTTCTGGTCTCATAACATCAGCAAGAGCCCTAAAGAATGGTGGGAAAGGGAAAAGAGTTAGATGCAGCCTTCCATAAAACCTTTGGTGCTCTCTCCCCCTCTCTCCAGTGTGGTGTAGTGGTTAAGAGCGGTAGACTCGTAATCTGGTGAACCGGGTTCGATTCCCTGCTCCTCCAAATGCAGCTGCTGGGTGACCTTGGGCTAGTCACACTTCTCTGAAGTCTCTCAGCCCCACTCACCTCACAGAGTGTTTGTTGTGGGGGAGGAAGGGAAAGGAGAATGTTAGCCGCTTTGAGACTCCTTCGGGTAGTGATAAAGCAGGATATCAAATCCAAACTCTTCTCTCTCTCTCTCCTGCCCTGGAAATAGACTCTCAAATTTTAATTTTGGTAGATCCCTTCTCACTAACAGCAAACTTTGTGAGCCCATGCCAACAGGACCGAAGCCCAAACTAAACCACTAAAAACAAAATGGAGGTATCAACCAACTTGGGTGCCTCCTGAGATACGAGAAATAAAAAAACACACACACACAAAAGGGTTTTTTGAAATTCCTTTTTTAAAACAGACACACAATGAAGACTGAGGGTGCTCCGTCAACTCCAGGAGATATGGAATGATGGGAAAGAAAACCAGAGAAACAGTAGAATGTCATGCTTGAGGAGTTCACACATGGCTGGCTGGAACCCTGGACAGGAGTATTCATATTTGAGTGGGAAGATGTTCTGCAACAGTTTGTGGTGGCTACAACTTGTTATCAGAGCAGCGGAAGCTTCTTTTTAGAATGTTCATTTCCGAAGTGAGGACTCAGGGGACGAGTCCATGAACACAAACACACACACACTTTTCAAATGCTACTTCTGTCTGTTTTGTGGTTTTGCTGGAGGTGTAGACACTTTTGGATGAGGCCAGCTCCCAAGACTCCCAAGCAAATATACCACCTTCACGCTGATTTGATTTCATGATGTCATCTGAAGCTATATTTTTCCCACATTCTGGATTCTTGTGGGTTTGTTTATAAAGCACCCAGAAGCATTGCCTCCAGTAGAATTTCTCCATACTCCACCCCACTTTGTGCTCACAGAAATGGGTGAGATGTTCTCCAACTTCACCATCTGCAGCAACTTTGACACACATTTCCTCCGTGAAGTTCTCCACAAATCTGCATCAATTTGCTCCCCCCCCAAAAAAAAAAATCCTCAAGAAAATTCATCAGCATTTTTGTGCAAATTTCTCCTGATGTACACATTTTTGTTTGCCGTTTTGCCTAATACAGTGGTACCTCGGGTTAAGTACTTAATTCGTTCCAGAAGTCCGTACTTAACCTGAAACTGTTCTTAACCTGAAGCACCACTTTAGCTAATGGGGCCTCCTGCTGCTGCCACGCTGCCGGAGCACGATTTCTGTTCTCATCCTGAAGCAAAGTTCTTAACCTGAAGCAATATTTCTGGGTTAGCGGAGTCTGTAACCGGAAGTGCATGTAACCCGAGGTACCACTGTATGCACATCTTTGCAAAGCAACTTTCCCTAACATGATCCTTCTGAGTATGGTATTTTCAGTATCGTATGCACACTTTGCCCTGGTGTATACCTAGCTGTACATATTGCTTGCAACGTCTGCAGAAGTGTGAATTTCCAAAGATGGCTGTGTTTGAGCCTGTGTATTGTTTCAGAAAGAAAGTGCTAGTTAGGTTAGGTTTGCCTTTAAAATCAAATTTCTTCCCCATTCCTAGTTGGGAATAAATCACTTTGGGCAGCCTAGTTTTTATGAGGTCCCCCCTAAGATTACTACTAAATGAAAACCAGTCCTGCAATATGGCAGGGGAAAGGAATGAGTATGTGGTTTCCCAGAAATATATATCTATTTTTAAAATGGTTCAGGTCTTTCTCCTGCCATACTCCGGCACTCATATAAATTGATAAAATGAGCGTCTCATCAGAACGTGTCCTGGTCCTGTAGTGCTCCTTTGGTCTGATCAGCCTAAGATGGAATCCAAGATGTTGGCAACTGCTTTGCTGAGACCCATCTGATGTGGCCTCACAACGCACCTGTGGGTCCTGACCCACTGACTGGAGACCTAGGATTTAAACCAGTGGATCCCAAAAAATTACCAGGTCCGCTAAGAGGCAAGCAGGCAGCAAGAGGGCACTGGAGATGTAAATAACTATCAGACTTTGAAAAGCTGTTATCACTGGATCAAGTTCATCAGGTTTGTTGAATTAATTACATGAAATAGTTTTAATTGGACTTTGAATAAATTGATTATGACTGTTTTGAATTTTATTGTGTTATTATCTCCCTCAGGGATGCGGATGGCGCTGTGGGTTAAATCACAGAGCCTAGGACTTGCCGATCAGAAGGTCGGCGGTTCGAATCCCCGCAGCAGAGTAAGCTCCCATTGCTTGGTCCCTGGCTCCTGCCAACCTAGCAGTTCAAAAGCACGTCAAAGTGCAAGTAGATAAATAGGTACTGCTCCGGCAGGAAGGTAAACGGTGTTTCCGTTGCACTGCTCTGGTTCGCCAGAAGCAGCTTAGTCATGCTGGCCACATGACCTGGAAGCTGTACGCCAGCTCCCTCGGCCAATAAAGCGAGATGAGCACGCAACCCCAGAGTCGGTCACGACTGGACCTAATGGTCAGGGGTCCCTTTACTTTTACCTTTATCTCCCTTAGTGGGTCATCCAGACTGCTGTTCTGGTTATGCTTTTTATAGGGTAGGGGGCACTGGGGATGGATTGATAGAACCAAGGGGCAATGACCCCCCCCAAAAAAAGCTTTAGGAACCACTGATTTAAACCATGCCAGGTCTGGCTGGGCCCTTCTAGGTAGCATAGATTATATAACCACTAACCAAGTCTGGATGCTACTGACAGAAACGTGCAGCAAAAAGGGGAGGAGAAAATTAATCCAGATTTTTTTTCTTTTTACTCTCAGACTGTTGGAAGTCTCTTTTAATGTTCATGGCAAGCTAATTACACATGATACTCAGTGATTCTTGACTGTGGGGCAGTATTATGTCATTTAAATGTCAGATGGATTTCTGATCACCAGGTTCTTTTTATTTAAAAAAAAATAGAGAGGAGAGGGTTGTGCTTGCTTGATCCAGTTAAAAAAGGAGGAGGAGGAAGATTTGTAAGAGCAGGTAGCCAGAATGAGTTTGGGCATTTTGAAATGACACTTCAATAAGAAGCAAATCTTCAAGACCCGCCACTGCAGAGCTGGCCTACATAGCAGAGGAAAAACTCGCAGCTAGCAAAGATCCCAAAGAGCTGTGTACATTAATAGGCTCCTAAGAGGGGAATATTATCCCAATACAGCCTCAAGTTATAGACTGATCCTGAATAATCCACAAAAAGCACACACACACAGCACACAGATCCAGTCGGTTCAGAGAGGATTTTTGATACAGGGAAAATGGCCAAAGCTTAAGGTAGCTGCATATATTTTACAAAAATGCTGGAGACGGCTGCGTGCTGGGACAGGGAGGCAGGAAGCAGAAATGTGGCAAATCTAATGACCTGTTTATTGAGCATTCATCCTGGTTCACTTAAGCGGAGGTTAGACTGTGTTTGACTATTGAGCATTCCTCTTGATTCTTTGCTTCCAAGGCTGTCATATGGCGAGCCACATTTCCTCCTGAATTTCTCTTGGTTTGTTTGCGTGATGGTTATACACCTTCCCATTAACCATTTGCCCCACACTTCATTATTTATTGCATTTCCATCCTACCCTTTTTCTCCAATGAACTCAAGGCAGTGTACATGGTTCTCCCCCTTCCTCATTTAATCCCCACAACAAGGCAGGTTGTGCTAAGTGGCAGTGACTGGCCCAAGTTCACCCAGTGAGCTTCATGGCCAACGTGGCGATCTGAGCCACTACTCCGCACCTGCTCTGTTTGGGGTGCATTTTGGTGCATTTCCCCATCACGTTTCTAAGCAGAAGATGGGCAGGTGTTGTTGTTTTTTGAGTTGATTTATTGCACTGGGACAACAGAGAGACTTAATCCATTTTAATGGTGCAAACCTCTTCAGCTTTAGAAACCTTAGTAACAATAACTGCATTACTCAGTTTTGGAGAAACAAAAAACCTCCAACAGCGGGAGAATGGCTGAAGAAAACTTGGAAGAATGTCTTGTTCGTTGAGCTAACATACAATAGGAATCCAATATAAGCAATATGTTTTGGCTACATTAGCAACAGCACTCCCAGCTTGAAGACTGGAAACAGAACAAACGTGCAAATTGGGGAGCTGAGACAAGGAGGCCATCGCGGCCTAGCAGAAGACCACTTGCACAATACAATTACTGCAAGAAACCAAATAGCATGGGCATCATCAAAATGTGTGCCTGCTTCCTGAAACCCAAACACATGCATATGAGTGGCCAGAGACTCCCAGCCAAGTGTGACATGTGTAGAACATCCACATTTTAGATGCCGTCTGCGGAGGCATTTCCTGCAACAATATCTCAACTTGTTCCTGGAGAATTAATTCATGGGCTTTCAAACTAGGAGCTTTGTTGTTTCCTGCTAATATTCATAGTCACTGTGCTACACTGGCTTGCAATCTGGTTAGAGAATCTATAGCAGCAATGGGAAACTTCCTGTTTTTGTTGGATTACAACTCTCATCATCACTGGCAATTGGACAACAGCAAAAGGACCACAAGCTCCCCATCCCTGATTTACATAAGTTGCCAGTGGGGTCTCATGTGAATGAATACTCCTCCCTACGTATCTACGTGCAAACTAGGGGCTGAAGTCAACTCATGTTTTTCACTAGCCAAAGCCAATACAAGGACTCTTGCTCATGCAATGGGGCTTTCCTGCCTCTCCCAACTCCACAAGTAACCCCACGCCTCACCCATATCAGCTCTGTGGGGGATGAGGAGTGCCCCCAGAACAGTGCATGGGGGGAGGGGAAGGAGAGGGGAGTTCATTTCACCAAGCAAGCAGAAATGCTGACACTGCCAGAATGATCTCCTTAGCACTACAATAGATTGTACCCAAAATTATACACAAATAAAAAACTAGA